TGGGTTTTTGTTTTTTTTTTTTTCGTTTTCATTTATTTATTATATATATATATATATATTTCTTTCCCGGGTCGTTACAATCATACTCATCATATTGCCACAAAGTGCATCAAACATATCAAGTACGACATTCATCAAAATATATAAATACTGAGCACATCATCAGGTATCATAACCCACACATCATCATAAGTCATACATCATCATAACTCATATACCGCATCATACGACATAGTTCATACAACATCGTAACTCATACAATTTTTAGCCTATCCTATAGTAAGGCCACTTACCTGGTTGGCCTTAGCCGATGTACTCCCTAATTTAATTAACGTAAGCTCCCGTTCCTCGAGAGTTGCTCTAAAGGTTGCTGGAGTTCGCTTCATATCCCACCATTCGTCACCTTTTGTTAGTATTTCACATTTTAATTAATAATCTAACTAACAATGTGAAATACGGCTCTAAAACGGTCTCAATAAAAATCGAATTCCAAGTTTTCATTGTTTCTAAATTTTCTAAAACTCAAATTGAAAATATGTTAATATTATTTCATGCTGCTTTGAATCATCAATCCAATTATGGTTTGTTATAATATTATATTATCTGGATACAAACAATAATAATTTTTCATATTTTTCATTTTCTTTCTTGTACCTCTTTGTTCTCTTCTCTTTGTATTTTTTTTTTCTTCCTACAAATGATTATGCAATTATAAAACAATTTTAATCCATTCTGTTCTCCTCCCTTTCTTAATATGACTATCCAATTAACCCATTTTCAATCTATTCTTTTTTCTTTCTCTTTCCCAAATGACTATCAAATTCATTTACAATCCATTCTAATTTCCTTCATAAAACTGAATATGCATCAATCAATTATGATTTTCTTCTCTTTCCTAAAAATGATGATTCATGCCATTGACAAAACCATTTTCAATCAATTTTGATTTCCGGGAAGAGATCCAAAAATCTAAATAATTGGAAAAAGAGAGATCTAAAACAATTTTTCTATCTCCTGCAAAAATAAAAGAAGAGATCTAACTTACCCATAAATTTTCTATCTCTTCCCTTACTATCAGATCTTCTTGGAGTGAAGCCATTCCTTCCCAATAGCCATTTTTTTTTGTTTCTCTTCTGTTTCTTTCTTTTGCAGATCCCTTTGCAGTTGGAAGTGTTGGGGAGATATTTGGGGAAGGTGGAGGGAGAGTCCATACTTTATTTTTTTTTTTATAATTATTATTATTTTTTTCTTTTTATTCTTTTTTTTCGGGTCGTTACAGTAGCGACCTTAAATTAAGTAGAAAATTTCGGGTCGTTACAATGCACAGCCACCCCAGCTCACAACTTTTCTGTTTAAGCCCAGACGAAGGTCCAGGCCCAACCCCCTTCGGACTCGCGTGAAGACCAATAGCCTGTGTTGCGTTCTTAGTTTCCACATGACCCACGCATGATTGAGCATCAGCCATGACTCCTCTTGACTTGGCTTGGCGTGTACGGCAGCTCAGCTTAACATGTACGATAGCTCAGCTTAGCGTGTACGTCGACTCGACTCCGTCAGTTCCTGCAACTCGGCTTGGCAGCTCAGCGGCTCGACGGCTTGGTGTAAATGTAATATATCGATTCTTAGGTCTTCAGCCCTTTTGAAGCCATTTTTGCCCTGTTTTTAGTCATTTGAGATTAGTATACTCTTAATTGTCAAAACAGATTACGTTAGGGCCTTATTTTGATAATTAAACATGAGGTTTAGCTTGGTTATGTTATGAAAAGGCTCAAAACATGTTATATGGTTTTTATAGGAAGTAGTTAGACATTGGAGTTAGTTTATTGTGAGTAAACTTCGACCAAGGCCAACGAGGTAATTGACTTCACTATTGGAGCTAGCTTATTATACGTTGTATCATGGTGCATGTCCTGTGGCTTTTGGATACACCATATATTATGTGATATGTTTATGTGCTTTTTCTTGTATGGTAATCAAATGTTTACTATGAATGCAAGCAATACATCACGCTATTTTCATGAAATAAAATAAAATGATATGAATGTATGTGAGTCTTTCATGCTATAAATGTGATGGACGGAAGAATGTTGTCATGCATAATTGAGCTTATGTTATAAAATACATACAGGAAATGAAAAGTAAATAGTATTATGTCATGTAATGTAAGTCATGAGATTTCATGTTTGTATGTCATGTACATCAAGATAGTTCCCCTTATGTTATGAAAGTAAGGATTCAATATTTTGTTCGCCATGATATCATGCGGACCTTTCTATTATGTGGCATTAGGGGACGTGTAATACATTGTGTTCGACCAAGCCAGACCCAGAGGGTACATATATCAGCCCGCCTGGTGGGCTCATGTGCGCGTACGTGGGCCGTGTGTGGAGGAGTATCATACATCGAAAAAGAAAAGAGCCCAAGACATGTAAAGTTTATGAAAAATAGGTCCCACCTATGTGTTGCATGTGTTTGCATATCTAACCCCAACAGTAGAATTACTTATTGAGTATTTAAAATACTCAAACCACGTGCTACTTAAATTTTTCAGGTGAAGGCAAAGCTACGAATGCTGAGAAGACCATAGAAGTTGATATGAGGGCATGATAGGACAGCAAATGTTTTAATTGGGTTTTATTTTAAACGCTTAAATTCATAAAAACATTTTAAATTCAAAGCCATGGACCCGCATAATCATTGTTTTAAAACTAAATATTAAATTAAAACTAAAACTAAAACTAAAATTCAAAACTAAATATTAAACTAAAAGTTAATAATTAAATTAAGATGCCACTATAAATGAAATTATTTAAATAACACAAATTTAAAAGGAAAACACGAAGGAAGTACCCATGCCCAAGATTTTTCTTCTCGTGTTGAGGTATATTATTTATGAAATATATCTTAGATATTATATCTTAATATTCTTTTCTTTATGATTTGATTTATAGTATATTTTATTTTATTCTCGGTATTTAATTATTCCTCATTTGTACTAGCTTGTATCCTATTTAAAGGATATATCAATGAGTACGCACACCTTCCCAATTCTATTTCTATTTCTATTTTTCATTTTTAACATTGCGCCGTTTTTGTCCAGTGCGAACGCTGCTGCCTCCTTCCTAACAGTAGTCTCTCAAACTCCATCTGACCATCTATGCCTTTCTTCACAACAATTCAAATTAGGGCTTAAAGAATATTGTGGATCTTTCAATTGCATTCGAATTTGTCTTGAAATTTTATGCCCTCGTTCTTCGATATTACATACCTTTTATAATGCAAGTACCGATTTGTGTAATGTGAAGATGATAAGCTTCTCGAGTGTTGACACTTTGCTATTATGTCTATAGGTCTTACGTTTGGTTATTCTTGCGTCAAGGTTTAGACTTCTAGTTTATCTGATGACATATTAGCAATTTTTGCTCTCTTCTTCTCCATTTTCATTTAACAGTTATTGTAACGCCTCTAATTTTCATAATCTAAGTAGAGACGTTAACCCATGCACACTTAATCATAAACGCATACAATACATATACAGAACACATGCAAATCACGTGCAGCACACACACATGCAACAACATGAGGGGAACCTATCTTCCATTCCCTTACATGGCCTAAAGCCCCTACTTTATTGGGGTAAGGTGGATGTCTGGTACTTCTCCACACACGGCTCACGTACTTAATGTGGGCCCACTAGGCAGGTTCATATACAAACCTCCTAGGTCTGGGTTGGTTAGGTACAACGTGATACACGTTACTGGACACCACGGAAAAGGAAAGGTTTGCATGATATCATAACAGGCATAATATCGAACATACACATATATGCCATCATAATATAATGGGGAAGTATTCCTATGCACGTGACACATAACATACATGAGGTTCCTAAGTCTTACCTTTCATGGCATAATACATACTATGTTTGTTTCATTCCCTTACCATGTTTCATAACATTAATACATACTATATTTCATTCCTTGCCGTGTTTCATAGCATGACTTAGTTAAGCAATATGTAAGCATATCGTATCTCTTCAGTCACTGCATTCATAGCATGCAAAGCTCTCATCATATTCATGACATGTCAACTCATTTCACCCATACGAAGTAAACAATTCATGGCAAGAACAAAAACACATAGGAACGATATACATCGACATTTCACAGCAAAAATACATGACATGGTATACATTGACATTTCACAACAAAAATACATGGCATAGTATACATCAACGTTTCACAACAAATATGGTGCATGTAAAGGCCACAGGGCACACACCATCGTACATAAAGTAACTCCAACTGTAAGTTACATCTCTGGCCTTGGCCGAAGTCACTTGCAATAAGCTAACTCCAATGTCTAACTACAACACCTAACTACTTCCTATAAAACCACATTATATACATACATCGACTTTTCATAATGTAACCCAACTAGACCTTATGTCTAGTATCAAGGTAAGTTCCTATCATAAAAACTTTTCATAATGTAACCCAATTAGACCTTAGGTCTAGTATCAAGGTACGTTCCTATAATAAAAACATTTTTAGCAATTAAGAGTTACAATGACTTCATATGATTAAAACAAGGGCGAAAACTGCTCCAAAAAGGTCAAAAACGTAGGAATCCATATATTATTTGTATGTCGAGCCGCCGAACCACGCCACCGAGCCGAGCCGCATAATACAAACGGAGCCGAGCCGACGCAGCCGAAGTACCGAGCCGACAAGTCGAGAAGGTCACTGGCGCGCACGGCTTCTGGACGCGGGCTGGTATCGCTGGTCTTGGGCCGGAATGGGTCGCGGCCCAGAATCAGTGTCTGAACGCGGACTGCAAGGCACGGGCCGAAACAGCGGGCCGCATGTTGGCTGAAGCGAGCTCGCGGGTACCCGAAGAACCCGATCCGCGATCAGCTGCTTTTGTCTTCCTCACCGGAGAATCTCGACAGACCCTAATCGCGGAACTCGACTGCCGTCTTCCGTTCGTCCTTGCGGTGCGTCTGTCCCTCTTGTTACGAAGTACCCCGGCGTTGGTTCGCTCCTACCTAAGAACTCACAAAGGTCCGAAGCCTCGCGACGTTTTCGATTCCTCACCTCAATCTTTCTGCTCCTCTCCCACAGGTACAACAGCGACTCAAAAGGAAAGGAGTGCCTCGCCGGAAATCTCGCGAATTCCGGCGAGATTTCAGGCGTTTTTTTTTTTTTTTGAAACTCGTATCGTTACAATTACCTTTATTGATGACAGGTTTTGGCTTACCTGGAGTGGAGATGAAAGTAAAAATTTTGAGTATCCATTGCATATCTGTTTTCATGTCCATTCTCTAAATATCTGTTGTATATTGATTGACTCTATCGTACTTATTCCTAATTGAAAGGCAGCAGAATCTGACTATTGGGCTTTTGGTTTTTGTCCTCCTTAATGTTGAGAAATCAGTAATTATGTTTTCGTATTAGTTTGTGCCCCTTGATTAATTGATTGATCCATATGTTTTCAAGCTTAAAGATCAAATATGAAAGTTGGACGTGGATATTATTAACAACTTCATGTTCATCTTAATCCTTTTTAATCCTAAAAGGTTGGGGTTGGTGATGAAGCCCCTATTTTGGATAGGAAGAAGAAAAGGTTTACAAAACAAGGCCTTCAGTTCAGTCAACCTAATGGTTGCAATAATGTTGTGATTGCTCAATTACTCATTCCACCTAATGGTTGCAATAATGTTGTGATTGCTCAATTACTCTCTTTCGTAGTTTTAGGTATCTTTTTATTCTTACCACTGAGGAATTTTCTGTGTTCTCCCTGACTTATTTTTGTTGATGTCGTCTTAACATGTGCTTTTGGATCTCCTTTTTATCATCATTCTGGATCAACTATAATTACCCCATTCCAACTATGTACATGTTAGTACCATATCTCTGCTAGCTGTTGCACAATATCCTGTCTGCATCAACACATTAGAACTGGTATCTTTTAATCTGCCATATATGCAATTACATTTTCCTTGACCCAGACTCCTCTGCAAACGTGTTTGGTGTCTAAAAAGAGTACGCTCCCTTTTTTCTTTTCTCACATTTCCTTCTGTTGAGTATAATTAAATTAACCATTCCCTTCTGTAAAATATAGGTGGCATGCTGTTGCATCATGGACTTGGAATGCTCAAGATGAAACATGTGGAATTTGTAGGATGGCTTTTGATGGTTGTTGCCCTGATTGCAAACTCCCCGGGGATGATTGCCCATTGAGTGAGTTAGCTAGCTTTGTCTTCCTAACCTCATATACTTTCTTTCCTGCCATAAATAATTGCACCGCACAGTTTAGCACAGATGATTTGTGATGCTTAATATCATGTGTGAGTGTGTGTGTATTTAACTCACATACATGCAAGTGACCTCAAAATACCATTTAGTTGGTTCTTTAATTAACAAGAAAATGAGGCTGCACCCTGTTCTAATTCCAGATTGGTAATCATGTTTGGATTAGTTATCTCATTTCCCTTTAAACGTTTCTTTTTCTTAGAACAAGATGGTAAAGACCCCTCATTCAGTTTTTCTTTAAATGCAGTTTGGGGTGCATGCAACCATGCTTTCCATCTTCATTGCATCCTTAAATGGGTGAATGCACAGACTTCTCAGGCTCATTGCCCCATGTGCCGCAGAGAATGGCAATTCAAGGGGTGAGAGCACAATTGTATTACTTTATTTACGTTACATTTGTCCAGCGCATGACTTGATTGAGAATTGAAACAGAGCATGTGTTTTCTCGTGTGCTTGAATTTTTAAACACTTCTAGTTGGCTATATGGAATGTGCATGGTTGAAGTTCCATCCTACCAGGTTTAGATGATGTGTGAAAAAATCATTAAACCCTTGTCCTTTCTGTCCAATTATGCTCATTATACATTTTTTTAAACGCACCTCATCTCTTTCCAGGTAATTAAGTAGTCAAAAAAACAAAACATAGCATAGAGACATCTAAACAATTTAGGATAAAGACGCTACAAATTCATAATCAATGAAATGAATTATATTTTGGGGGAAAAATTGTATTCCTCTAAATATTTTAATGTTTTCAACCATACAGAATTAGATGATGTTTAGATTTAAAAATACATACAAGTATTTTTTTTATAAAATTATTAACACATTTAGTCAGCTTAGGGCCTGTGGGATTGCACGAGAGGGAGGATTCACGTAACTTGAATTATTTTAGTTACCTTATAGTTTTTTTATCTTTCATATTTCAATATTATTTCAATTGTTTGGATTCTGTCACAAACTTGGACATTTTTGTCAATAGCCTATTAGGAACTTTAGATTTATTATATGTTTCTGATCACGGTTTTGATCCTTAAAGTTCAGGGGTTGATTAGTTAGTTTACCTTTATTTTTTTTTCATTTTTCTTCTGTGTGTATTTAACACATTGTGATATTCAGTTTTGAATAATGAAGAGATATCAGAAAACTTCCAAAGATCAGCGATATTGTGCCCAAATTTTTTTGTACCAGAAGGACATATCATCTTCAATGGCAACTGGTATCACCATCAGTGTACCCCTAGATTGACAATGGCATACTATTATATATAGTGCCAATGCTCCTAGATGCTTATAGGTTCAAATTTTACAATACTTCCTGATCTCACATCAGTTTAACTTGCTAAATTTATTTCTGTGATTGAGAAAAAGATGGGATTTTCTATGGGAGTGCAATGAAGATGGCAAGCCCAAACATCTTGTTAAATGAAATTTGGTTCTAAAAACCACTGATGGCGGACTTTTAATGGGTGGTTTGAAGGTCAATAAAATAGGGATGGAGATTTTTCCATGAGTCATCCTCTCTTTGGCGGTAGGTAATTGCAAGTATACATGGTTTTGATTCTTTCGGATGGCATACTATTGCTAAGAGAAATACTTGTTCTTACAGCCCTTGGGTCAACATTTCTAAACAACGTAAATCGGTGAAAGATATAAGTTTGGTATGATGAGCTTGTTTGTTCAGGATTAATCAACAATTCTATTTGACATGATTGGAATTAGTTTATTTCCAGTTACCTATAGTTATTTGATTCAGTGTGATTGACAAGCTCAGCTGCTTCCTCTATATTGACCTCAATTTCTAATGTCATTGCTCCAAACTTATCCCACAAAAGTTAAGCTTGTAGGACAGACAATTGCAGCAAAACAAATTTCCAATAGCATGATATAGCTTTTGCAGCATCAGCTAGAGCTTGCCATTTCAAACCAAAAAGAAAACAACATAATATCAAACCCCTGTCAATCCGAAAGATAGAGCCAGTAAATCTCATTTCAACAAATTATCTACTTTTCCACATGCCTATTGTGCATATGTTATTTTTATTAATAAGACTTAGTGTAGCGACTCATGTCCAAGACTCAGATCAAAATTCGAAATTTAGATTCGACACCTAGTGACCCCAGCATTCTCCTGCGACATGGTCACTGTAATAGTCCAAGTCCACCGCTAGGAGATATGGTCACTATAACAACCCAAGTCCATCGCTAACAGAATCTCCGAAAAATCTTTTACCCAAGTCCACCGCTAACAGATATTGTCTTCTTTGGGCTTTCCCTTTCGGGCTTCCCCTCAAGGTTCGCTAGGGGAAGGTTTCCACATCCTTATAAAGGGTGTTTCGTTATCCTCCCAACCAATGTAAGATATCACAGTCACATTACTTACTCCTTGGTTCTAAGAGTGAAGACTACTCTCATAGACAAACACGAATCTTTCTAGCATGTTTTGTTCTCACTCTCATGCATCATAGAAAAATTCTCATGTCACTTACTCCTTGCTTCTAAGAGTGAGTGAAAACTATCTTCATAGACCAACACAAGTCCTTTCAGCATGTTTTGTTTTTACTCACATGCATCCTAGAAAAATTCTCAGGAGGTCACCTAACATATAATTGCTTGAAACAATACACACTTAACTAATAAGTCCCTATAATTGAGCCACCGAAAAGGAAGGTACAGCGTGCTAGTATAAGTAGTGACTTTTAATTCTTTTAAGCCTTTTCGTAGTCATTCTATCTTTAGGACCGATCTCCTTTGGATGTGGTTTCGGTCAATTTATGTGCTCCTCATTTACTCGAGTGTCATATACCCACCAACATTCTTCTAAGTTCATCCCCGAACCACATCTTATTGGGAGAGGTATGATTTTGATACCATTTGTAATGACCCATGCCAAACATTTAGAATTCAAATTCGACACCTGATGACCCTGACATTTCTTTGAGACATGATCATGTACTTCTCACTTCTAAGAGTGAAAACTTACAGACCAACACGAGTTCTTTCGGCATGCTTTGTTCAAAACAGACTCACATGCTTTGTTCAAGACTTAGACTCACATGCATTTTTTGAAAATTTCCAAGAGGCTATCCAATATAGAATTGTTCAAAACAAAGCACACTTGACTATAGAGTTTCTATAATTGAGCCTTCGAAAAGGAAGGTGCACCTTGTTGGTATAGGTAGTAATTTTCAATTCTTTTAAGCCTTCCTTAGTCATTTTATCCTCAACATCGCTCTTATTCGGATGTAGTTTCAGTTCATTCATGTACCCCTCATTTACTTGGGTGTCACATGCCCACCAGGTTCTCGTTTAGTTCGTCCTCGAACAACAATTTAAAAGGAGAGGTACGACTTTAATACCATTTGTAATGACCCATACCCAAGATTTGAAATACGAATTTGACACCTAATGGCCTCTGCATTCCTTTGCATCCCATGCGACATGGTCACGTACTTACTCCTCGCTGCTAAGAGTGAAGACTAGGCCCACAGACAAACACGAGTTCTTCAAGCATGCTTTTTCATCACTCACATGCATGTTAGGAAAATTCCAAGGAAGTCACCCAACATAAAATTGCTCCAAGAAAATCACACTTAATTATGAAGTTCTTATAATTGAGCCACCAAAAAAGTGTACATTGTTGGTATAGGTACTGACTTTCTATTCTTTTAAGCCTTTCTTAGTGATTCTATCCTTAGAATCGTTCTCATTTGAATGTGGTCTCAGTTCATTTATGTACCCTTCTTTTACTTGGGTGTCAGGATATTTATGATAAAGAAAAGTATTCTTATTTTGGGAAAGAAGAGGTAGAAAGACATCTACAAAAATGGTGCATACTCCCGCTGCTAATTGAAAAGGAAAACCTGAGTTTGAAAATTCTAAAGAAAAAAACATAGGAACAGAGTAAGGACAGTTGAAGCAAGGGTAGTTGGTGAAGGCTTAGTCTAGGTTCAAGCAAAGTGATGGAACTGCCCTTCATCTGCAATTAGTAAAGGAGGCCTCCAGGCCCCTCCACTCTGATGCAGAGGAAGAGGATATGGGCATGTTATTTGTTTTACAGCACCCTTCAGCCATATTTCCTGCTCAAGTTCAACAGCCTTTTAGAAATAAAAGGGACATAAACATCAAGAACAGAATATTGCACAATAAGTGAATATGCCTTCAAGCTTCTACATAAATGTATGCTTGATCTAGCAGGTCCTACAAATAAGAGTACAAACTATATTAAAATTGGTCATTTGTTGTTCTTTCGTTTTTTCACTTTTAGTGTGGTTTATGGTTTTTTGTTGTTACATTGTGCAAAAGCGTTCGTGAAGGGGGGATGAAGACTCGCATAGTCTTTTACTTTTCATGGGAGTGAATGGGAGTGATGTTGTGAGGCAAAACGTAAACTCTCATAATCTTTGTGAAGTTCTGCCTCATTTATCTTAGTGACAATGTGACGAAGGATTATATAGCATTGTGGATAGCATGGTTCCACAATGCCGCCCATTATATATATACATATATATATATATATTTAAAGTTAATGAAGCTTTTCTTTATTATATTTAAAAAATTTTAATTTTTTTATGCTCCCTAGATTCATTGTGACACTGTGACTCTGTGTTTAAAGGTTGCCTGCTAACCTTACACAATATGATGTTCAAAAGAGATGACGCCATATGGTCTTAATAGGTATGATGAGGTCGTGCCTCAACCCAGGATGTTAGTTATTTACTGATGTGGCCATACAAGTTTACCAAGTATGGGAATATAAAAGTTGGTCCACCCTAAATGAGATCTGTTGTCCGGAAGAATTGTGGTACTAGAATCCAATGAACAACTTTCGGTCTCCAACAGGGTCTTGTGACATGCAAGAGAACCACGTGGAACTTCAAGACATTTCTAGAAGACCAAATAGCTATAGTAGCAGAGAAAAAACAATGCTAATCCTCAGCCCAACGATTCCAACATTTATTGAAGCAAGAACTCTTGAATCAAAGAAATTAACGCCTTCTTATACAAAATTCAGATCAGCCAAGAGATAATGGTAAAATCAGAATACCTCTTAAGATCAGGAGTAAGATTTGAAACCTTGTTGTAATTTGAGTCACTTCACAATAGAAGATTTGAAACCTTATTGTAATTTGAGTCACTTCACAATAGAATTTGATCACAACTTGATGCAATCTACCACAAGAATTGCTTGAAATTTAGAAATGATAAAGATGAAACTCAAATTCTAGGAGAGAAAGTCTGAACTTGAGAGTTCAATTTCATTCCTAAAAAAATTTGTCCTTTACATAGCAATTTGTGGGTATTTATACTCTCTCTACAAAAGAAACTTCCAACCCTTCAAATGCTTAGTGACCATGATTTACTCGCACTC